CTTTAGTAAGAAATAATGACTAATAATAATGGCTATCATTTTATTTTGAACACAGGCGAGAATTTTTGATTAATGTATTATTAAATATTAATGGATTGTAAAAACTATACTAACACTCGTATTTGAAAGCACAGGTTAGGATGTTCAGGGTGGATATTTTTTTATCAATTCGACGCCACGGAAAATTCAATACATAGAAGAACAACTGATATTGGACTTTCCTTTTATCCTTAATTGAATAACTGACATTTTTGCATTATTTTGAACTAGTATACTTTAGAGAAATTAAATTTTGTACACATATATGTGAAATAAATAAATATACTATGGTGGTTTGTTATTATATCACGTATTATTATTAAATTATAGGGACGGAGAGTAAAACAATAATTAATCTTACACTTTAGATAAACTGCCATAAACTTAAAACTATGCTACAAAATAATAAATGGTTAGTTGTAAAAATGTGCTAAACAAATATATGAGACGATAATTTGTGCACGTGCGTATTGCACTTCTATAGTTATACAATTACTCTATATTATACCATACAATCTTAAAAGTAATACGATTGATAGACAAACCATTGAGTTCTGCGAGGCAGTGTTTGATGAGTACAGATCAGGATTGCCTGAAATATTACAAAAAAAAAAAAAAAATGTCAATCGTAACAAACATCTTAAACTACATCATTATTTCCATATTAGATATATTACACAATTCATCGTGCTGTATAAAAATACAATAATCATTTACATTTTTAGTAATTGATTTTTTTAGTCATATGAAAATCATTTTATTGGATAGTTTAAATTCATAGTTAAACAAACAAAAAAATGATCATTAATCATTATCATTCTCAAAATACGGTTTAAAAAAATTATAATGCACAAATTATTTTCAAATGACAAACACAGAACTGGAATAAAGTAGAATATTTTTTCGATAATCTTTGAATAAATGAAGTATCTGTTAAGTTTTTGTCATTTTTATATTATTGATCAGTATCGGTTAGTAATAATAACTGAAATTTAGGTTTACAAAAAAAGCAAAACACCCATAACTAGTATGATAAAAGTTTTATTTTAATAAATATAATAACAGTATTTCAATTTTTTATAATTACTTACTATATAAATAAAATATTTGGTAAGTAATGTATATATATACAGTAAAACCTTGGTATGACGGAATCGCTTGGGACCATGTAATTTTTCCGTGTTAACGGGGTTCAGTACATACATAATACAATTTATATTTTTAATTAAATTTTATATTTATACTTATTTATTTATATTTATTTTTAACCAATATACATTAACAATAATTATATTTTTTGAAAGAAATCAGATATTGATTATTGTTTTTTATTCCTCAAGGCGTCGCACACTCTTTGACTCTCGAAGTTAAATCCAAAAGCTCATTATTAAAAACTAGGACGGAACATTTTTTTAGTTCCTCGAGGTAGCATATATAACTCAGATAATGATGTTGTAGTTTACATAAATCAATGTTATTAGTTTTTAATGTCATCGTATAAAGTACGCGCTCGTATATCGATTATCTATGGATATAGACAATACGAAAATAAATTTATTATGTACACTAAAATCATGTTTGTTTATCATATTTCCGTCTTAACGAGGGTTTTTATCCACTTTTAATACAAAAGTGTGTCCGTTTCAGCTTGCTAAGGTTTCCGTCTTGACGGTATAAAATTATATGTATTTGAAAAAAGGACTTAAGAAATTTTCCATATTACCGGAGTTTTTGTTTTACCGAAATTTTACTGTATATACATGTAAAACATTTTATTGTTGAAAAATTAAAACGTATAATATCTCTCATTTAAAATGTTAACTTGAAACATTAAATTCAAAAACATTATATGATTTTGCTATGAGTAATTCATAGTTTAAAATATTGTAGTAAAAAAAAAAAATGTAAAATGTAAATCTAAACATACTTTTATACAAAGTTATTAAACTTTTATAAAAATAAATAACCTCTAGATATATTTATTAATTTGGATAATAATTGTAAATGAAGGACTTAGAAATTATAACTTGATATATCACGAGTTAAAGTTAAGCATAAGTTAAAATTAATTTATACTGTAAACTTTACTTTAATAATAATACATTTTACAATTTTACAAAGTGAAGAAGTTATTTAGAGTAAGCAAATTATTTATCATTATGTTTGCCACTCATAAACACGGTTTTTATTAAATTTTAGTTACACCATTAAAATATAATGTTAATTTCATTATATTTGCGCAATATATATAAATATATAATTTAGATACATGCAAAAAACGTAGTTCAAACCATTTTATAGTTGAAAAAATAATTTTTGTGCCAATAAAGTTTGATCTAATACTAAAATATTTCTTAAAAGCTTTTAAACGGTCAAATAAGGTTGAGGGAGATATAATTATCTTCATGCGAAATAACACATTACACACATTACTTACATTGCTAATTAGAAGTGTAAATTTGTTCATTATTTTAATTTACATTAAGATAGTACTTATCCTCAATATTTAGTAAGACCCTGTAATTATATATTATTAAAAATAAATAGTTTTAAAACAAAACAATTAATTAATATTCTGGTTGTATCTTATGTGATATGATTATTGATTAAACATTAAAAAATACAAGAGTGAATTAATGATTACTTTGCAACAGTAATAATTAATAACAATTACTAAGAATTATTGATCATTAATTCAAGCTTCGGAAAAAATGTAAATTAATTTCATTGATTGATTCAATGTTTAATGTAAATTAATTGGACATTGTAAATGGCTTATAAAACCTACAAATTATTAATAAAATAATTCAAATAGATAACTATTTAGTAATACATGTGTAGTAACAGAAGACTTTAATATAAGAGTTGGTGTGCATCAGGGGTTGGCTCTAAGCCTTTATTTGTTCTTTGTGATAATGGATGAATTTATGAAAGAGATACAGGGCGAGATACCATGGGGTGTATGATATTTGCTGATAATATAGTTTTGGTGGAAGAAAATCTGGAAGAAGTTAATAATAAATTGGACGAGTGAAGGTTAACTCTTGAAGGAAAGAGATTGAAAATTAGTAGGAATAAATCAGAAATTATTGAGTATGATTTTGGAAGAAGATACCAAGAAGTTTAAAGTATAAGGAGACCAATGATAATAAGATGTGATCTAGTAGGTGAAGTCAAGAATTTTAAATATTTAGGATAATTTATACAAAAGGATGGGAACTTAAGCATGGATGTAGAGCATAAGATTAAGTGCAGTTGGATGAAATGGAGAGAAGCATCAAGCGTTTTATGTGATAAAAGAGTTCTAATGAAACTGAAAGATAAATTTTACAGGAGTGTAGTGAAATCAACTATGCTATATGGTTTGGAGTGTTGGTCGGTTGACAGGAGCATAAAATAGAGTATGACTGTTGCAGAAATTAAAATGCTAAAGTGGATAAGTAGAATGATAAGAGTAGATACAATAAAAAACAAATATGTGAGAGGTAGTATTGGTGTAGCATCAATAGTGGACAAGAGGAAAAAAAAATAAGTAGATGGTTTGGGTATGTGATGAGGCGAGAGGAAACAAAAGCAGTAAGAGGGGTTATGAAAATGAATATTGAAGAAAAAAGAAGAAGAGAAAGACCAAGAAAAAGAATAGTTGGGCACAATTGAGAATAATATGAGGGCTGTTAGTGGGCATAAGGATTTAGAAAATCCTATAATAAGATGAGTGGAGGTTTAGGATAATGGTGGTCGACATCAAATATTTGGGAGAAAGGCTAAAGAGAAGAAGAAGAAAATAACGTAAATAATGTAATACTAATGCTTAAGTTTTTAAATCATTAGTTAAATTGATTTTATATAAATAAATGTTAATTAAGAACAATTAAATTTTACCCATTTGGAAAGTATGAGCTGGTGATGACATCCGTCCATCTCCACCATTAGAATATGCTAATACTCGTAGTTTATACACTTTTCCAGGGGTTAGTTTAGTAATACGTGCTTCCAATTTGCTTCCAATTTCAACAATTGTATCGTTTGCAGTACTCATGTCTTGATCATTTTCCCAAACACGTACCTATCGATTTGAGTGTTAATTAATTTTATAATCTGTTATTAATTAGCTATAGTAAAAATATTTTTATGCTAACCTTATAACCCTTAATCGGTTCTTCTTCAAGTGTAGGTGCTACATATCGCCAAGTTACAAGTATAGTATCAGGATTTAAGCCTTCAATAACAACCGATGATGGTGGTTTTTGTGGTGCTTTTCTATATGTTCGCTCTGTAAAAAAGATACAAAACAATATTAGTGCTAATATTCAAATTAATAATTCAATTGATTTTTTTTTTTTCGATGAAATTAAAATATTATCTTATGTACACATTAGCATTTAACTACTGATTTATTCCCAGCAATACGCTTATTTTTATTTCAATAACTAATATTATCAATTTGGTAATAAGCAATCATTTTTATTCCATTGTTTTGCTTTGTATAGTCATAACAATAAGCACACATTGTTTTTGTACATAACAAAGAAAAAATTATTAATATGAAACAAAATAAGTTTTAATCTTAACTTCTTAAAAATTTAAAACTAATTTGACCAACAACTCTCTAAAAAAACTAACTTTTACAGTATATTTTTCAAGTTTACTGATAAGCAACATACATTTATATCAAACAGTATTCAAATATTTTAAATAATAATATTATTAACTTAAAAATCTCACCAATAAATCGTTCACTTTCAGGACCTTCTCCAGCTGAATTGTATGCCATTACTTTTACATAATATTCTGTATCTGGTTGTAATCCAACAATGAGTGCCCAAGGCTTTGTAGACCTACTTAAATAATATACTGCATCTTCTTCTCTTTCATTAGCATCTTTTTTCCAATACTTTAACTAAAAATAAAAAAAAAAAAAAAATAAAAAAACAATTATATCCTTTAATTATTGTAAATAATAGTTAACATCAAATAAAATCATAATAAAATTTCTTTGTAGGAAAGTTAACAGTATTATTTTATAATACAAAACATTATATTTGAGATTTTATAAAATTTAAACTTTCATAATTTTATGTTTACACGATAAAATATAATTATAATTTAGAATACACAATTGAAAAAATGAAGAGGAGAAAAATTTTAATTTTGAAAATTTGATTATTTTCTAGGTAAATAAATTATAACAAAGAACAATTTGATAGGATTTTGCACAATCTTAGTCAGGAAATAAATTTGGTAAGTTGTCATAAACATATAACGATTAATTTGTTACTTAACATTATGGTTAAAAAATAAATAAATATGATCATGTATTTTCATAGTTGGTTAATAGTTTCCTAATATTGTTTAGTAATAGTGCTTTATGAATCATGTTATTTATTTGCTTAAATGTTACTTACTCTGTGACCAATTAATTTACCGCGCAACAATTCTCGAGATTGGTCAATTGGTACCCAGCTTACATTGATGGCAGTTGAGTTATAAGAAATAGCAAATACTGTTTGTGGAGATACTTGTGGCATATCTTCTGCACTGTATATCACTTTTGGCTCCGATTTAGGACCATCACCAAATGAATTACTAGCCTACAGATATATAAATATAATAAAATAACAAATTAGGGAGATATTATAATTTAAATTCATACTTGAACTTGAACTTCATATTTAGTGTAGTAAAACTCGTGTTTAATATGCACCACAGCCATTCCAATATTACCACTCTCTTTTAAAGATAAAGACTGAAACTCTGAATCATGATCCAAACGTCTCCAGTAAACACTATAATAAACATTTGGTCCATTTTGATCTTGTGGAGATAGTTGCTAAAAATTAAAGCAGTTAAGTTAGTGGGCTTAGAAAAATAATAAAGGAAATCATGATAAAAACATACTTTCCACACAATAGTTAAATCTCCAATTTTCCCACCACCTCCAGTGATATTTGTAGGTGCTTTGTATGGGCGATCAGCTGGTGTGTTGACTTGTGGTGATGGAAGTGATACTTCACCAAATCCAATGCTATTACCTGCGACCATTTTAAATTCATATTTAGACCAGGGTTGTAGAACATTTTCTAAAAACGCTTCTTTACGTCCATTGTACCTATCGACTTCTTTAGTTACAATATCTGAAACATAAGATATAAATATAATATAGTAAAACAAAGATTACTTCTATTAAAATTTACCTGTAGCTATCGTAAACCATGTACTATTCCATGCTGTTCGAGCATATACTATATAATGTGAGATAGGAGGTCCATTTGCAGCACCATCGGTCCATTGTAATTTGGCTGATGTTTTTAATACCTCAACTTGTACTCCTCCTATACAAAAGTAAATTTAATTTTCAGATGTTATTTAAATGATTTTCTTAAACAATAAATTTACCAGGAGGTCCTGGTGGTCCATCAACAAATAAAGTAGTTGATGATGATATTTCTCCAACTACACTGCGGACAATACATTTGTATTCACCAGAATCTTCCAATGTTAGATTATGAAGATATAGTTCTCCACCATTAATACTCTTCAAAATTAAAAGAACAAATTTAACACAGCAGTAAATATTTTGAAATTCAAATAATATTATAAAAATGGTATAATTAGTGATTATAATATGAATTTTCAACTAAGCATATTTTTTTAAATGATTGCTTACAACATGTCCAATCATCTCAGAATTGGAATTCAGTAATGGTAAATTGTTATGTTTCCAGATATATGCTGTATCTAAAAGTTCATCAGAAACTGCTTGACAGCGCAATAATAAATCATGTCTTATAACTGATCGAATTTGAGGACTCAGTTGTTCAATAAACATAGGACCACCTATAGTAAAATTATTTCACATTAATAAAATAATGAATACAGATGTATAATATGAACACTTACGCATTACAATAAGTCTTCCTTGACTTTCTTCAACACCATAAATATTTTGAGCAATACATATGTAAATACCTTCATCATCTCTGCCAACTGGATTGATAACCAAATTTCCATTATCCAATATACGACGTCTACCTCCAGATCCTGTGAGAAATTAATAAAAATGTTAAATAAATAAAGTAAGAATAATAAACAAAAAATTACTGTATAAATGTATTGAATAAAATTATTTAATCTATTATTATTTAAGGCTTGATATTAGAATAAAAAAATTATTATTAATATTTTACATGTTAAAAACATATTTTGAATTTAGTAAAATATTAACAAATTATGAATGAAAATAGTTTTTTTTTTCAATAGTTATCTACCTTCATAATAAATTGAGAATGATCAAAAAAAATACAAATATTCCAAGAAGACATAATTAGTCTTAAATTAATAAAAATATCAATAAATTTTACCTATTACATATCCATCTTTTTTCCAAGTAAACTTAGGTTTAGGTGCAGCTTCCGGATTGCATTGGATTGTTACATTTTTTCCTTCAGCACCATACATTTCTGGTTCCAATGGCTTCTTTTTAAATGATGGACGTAAAGCTAAACAACATTTTCAATTGTTTATAATATTGTGTTCATTATAAGTAAAACATAAAATAAACTTACATAAAACTCTTAGTTGGGCGGATGAGTAGCGTGCTTTTAAAGTATTACGAGCTTCGCATTGATACATTCCTGAATCTTTTTCAGCATCTAAATATTTTATGTTTAACACATTGTCTTGTATCAAATATCGTTTTTGGTCATCAGGTTGCAGTTTATCAATTTCTATAGGCTCCCCATTTTTAAACCATTTATATGTTACATCAGGTACACCAAATGCTTCACAGGTCCATGTTAAATCAGCTTGATTATCCATATGTTTATCCGTCAGTGGTATGGTGAAATTAGGTTCAGCTAAAATAATAAAGTATAAATAAAATAGTTATAGTTATAAAAACTCTTGGATTGAAAAAATGTATACATAGAATACATAATATATATTATATCATCTAGTAAAGTACAAAATAATCATCAAATAATCAAATAATTTATAATAAAATAACCACAAAAATATATTAATTGAAAACTGTTTTGATTAAGATTATATTATGTTATTGAATAAAAAGGAAAGTTATTACAATATAAAACAAGCTTTATTCACCAATAAACTAACAATATGAAAATAACAGTAATTTGTAATCACCTTGTATTGTTAATGAAACACTTTTTTCTTTACTGTCTCTGTCATTGAAAACATGACAACTATATTCACCTTGATCTTCCACTTGAACTTTGGGTATTATTAAGACACGATTATAGCTAGTTAAATAGGATCCTTTAGGTAATGGAGAACCTTTCCTTGTCCAATTATAAGAAGGCACAGGGCTAAAATTAAATAATTATTTTAATTAATATAATGCAATAGTATTTTTATTAACAAGCAAGGAGTTATTTAATTTTTATTGCTAAATACAAATTACATCTAATAACAATAAAACCTAATTTACAATTGTTAACTCACTATGCAAATGCAACACATTCAAGTCGAACTTGTTGACCAGCAATAGGTGCTTCTGGAAATGCTTTTGGGAAATTATTTGGTAATATAAGTTGTTGATAATCAGCTATAAAAATAAAATAAATATTAATTACTGTACATGAGAAAATTAATAAAAATAATATGAATACATACAATGAGTTACTACATGTAATGGAAATAAAGGTCCATTTTTGCCAGAATTGGAAACTTTACTTTGCACATTACAACTGTAATTGCCAGCATCACTTTCTTCCAACGAGGAAAAATATAAATAACCATCATATGATACAAAAACTCGTCTATCTTCTTGAACCAAATCAGGAAACGCTCCTCTTACCCAATAATAACTTACATCTAAAAAATGGTATTAATAAGTAGTAATAAATTATATTTTACAGCATATTATAAAAATACATAAATATTATTTATTACCAGGGAAGTACTGTGGAGGGTCACAAAATATGGTTTTACCCCAATTTTTATTTCCACGTTCAAGAGGTCTCTGTAGATTAAATTCGCCAATAAATCCAAAAGAAAGTTGAATACTTTCAGAAATTATAGAACCAAACATATTTGATGCTTTGCAATGATATCGACCTCTGTCTTCATCCTATAAATAACATGTTATATAAATGACTTTAAATATCAATGATTTTATATAATATCAAACCATTTACTTTATTCTTACCCTTTTAGGAGAATAAATAATAAGTGTTCCACCACTTAACGTAAATCTATTATTACTTAATGGATCAATTTTTAAAGCTAACAATTGATCTTGGTTATCATATTCTTCTTTGAACCATTCATAAGTTGGAGTTGGAAATCCTCCGGCAACACATCTAAAATGTAAATTCAATTTGCTAATATAATACTAAAAGTAACTTACTTCAGATAATAAAAAATATATATTATAAATAAAAAATTGTTAAAAATCATTAGAATGATTAGAGTTTGAATAATAAAAGGTTTTTGAGAAAATTTTATATAAAATAAATTTTAAACACTTACAATTATATAAGTAATTACAGTAATAGTTGAAGGAATCCATAATCACACTAATGAAAAATGTAAAAAAAAAAAACTTTGAACAACTATTATATACATACTTTAGAGTCACATCATTAGTAATTGCAATTCTGGAACCATCAAATACTACATCAGATGGTTGCTTAATAAAATAAGGACCTCGTGGAATTTTTTGACGATCATCAATATTATAACCATACTGATAAGACCGATCATCAATTATTAAATTATGTTTATTAATGGGTATTTCACAAATATATAACAAATATCGATCGCCAGGAACTTTTTCAAATCCCCATTTTTGCAATTGATTTGAGTACCTAAACAAATTTTCAATAAAATAGTTAACTTTAAATAAAGTTTAAATGTAAGACTGTATATAATCAAACTATTGTATAGTAGCAAAATAAATATTTATATTTTTTAAAAACCATAACAATAAGTTTTCATTATAAAAAATATGAAAATATAATAAACTCACGTATAAGCAATATAATCTCTATTTAATGTAGAATGTTGTTCAGGCAAAAGAGCATTTTCAATATCTATTAAAGGAATATTATTCTCTGAATCATTTATCCATACTCCAGGGCTTGTTTGTTTACCACTAACATACCATTGTCTATGTTGTGGATCTTGATGCAAAAGTTGGTTAATAAGAAAACCATGTTCATCTATACTATTGACACTAGCTAATTCAGCCCCAAAAGCCTAAAAAAGAAAAAAAACAATTAAATTACACATTAAAAATAATAATCATAATCATAGGAAAAACATCATTGTAATCATAATTTTTGTTAATGAAAAAGTTAATAATATTTTTTTGCCAAAAAGCAATCACTAGAACTCTTTTAAAGTATCTAATTAGATTATAAAAACATGTTACACCAATGTTAAATATAAATGGTTATGTAATGTGATAAACAAACAATTTTTATTCATCTACGTTAAATATGTTACCACTTAAATTTTTTTTTTTTTTAATATTATGTCTAGCAACAGGAAAGAATTAAAAGTAAATATATATATATAATTCCCACAAAAAAACAAAACATTTGTTTTAGTTTCTAGATTTCTCAAGAACCTATTAATTTTTAAAGTTTTTAAATGTAAATTTAAAATTTTTATTAGGTACTGGTATAGTGCATTTATAACCTATATTTAGTTTATGGTGTAACAAATTATTGACATTCTTCTTTGAATATATATTACATATAAGAACTTCTAATTTAAATATGATACGGTGAAAAAATAATACCGATTAGTTAAGCTTATGTATAAACAATAATTGCAAATGCAAAGGCATGCAGGCAAATTTTAAATTTGAGGAATACCGAGAAAAATCAACTAATTAGATGAATAGGAGGCAATTTTTCTCCCAACAAATTTCTATAATCTTTTAATGCCATATAATACAAAATAATAATTAATTCTATACATGGTCTTTAATTATTTTTCATAATTATATAAATTAATTAAATATCATACACTCTAAAAAAGTAGTATATAACTATTATTTTGATAATGATCTTACTTGATTCTCTTGATTACAACCATTACAAAAATGTATTATATATTATCGGTATAAACTTATCATATATTTATGTTGACCATATCCATAGAATACAATTTTAGGATAGTATCGGTACTATGTATTACCTTGGGGTACATACTCGACATGCCCTATGCATATGCCTATGTAGAGGCCACTTTAGAGGTTGATGTTGATTTAACAGAGTTAATATTTAGTTGGATTATGAAAAAATGATTCAAATATAACATTTTTAATTATTAGTTATTCATTAATTCACATTAAAATTTAAAAAGATATTTGAGTTAGTCTTATTATAATCATAAGAATTAATGTTGTATATTTAATATCATCAACAGGTTCATTACACAAAATAAAAATAATATAGAGGTACTTAATTAATTAAAAATATTAATGGAAAATGCAATACTTACTTGACAGTTTCGATGAGCTTCATTTCTTGGTCGAATGGGTGATTTTACAAATTTATAACAGGAGTTGTCGTAATGGACCCAGTACTGCGGACAGTGCCATTCGTTCTCTAAATCGTTGAATTGCGACCAAGCCATTGGTGTCATACATAGCACGACCAAAGTGCACAGGAAAGTGCAACGAATCATTTTGAACAGACACAAAACCTACCTAATTAATACAATTCGTTTACGACCTAAACATGTTGGTTTTCGACCGTTTGTCAAAACGTTGAAGTACAAAAATATAAAACTATTCCGATCGAATCCGGGAGAATCGGTCGTTCCGGAACTAAGATTATAAATAAAAAAAAAAAAAAATTAGTAACTTATAACGAATAACACGGTAAAACAGTGCACGACGACGCTAAAATTGAGTAGTGACTAATAAGTGGGTGGGTCAATTTTAATTTTATGTTTTGTTTTTGTTATCAACTTTGTACAACGGAATTTTAATTCGTCCGATTGGTACAACGCCGTGGAGGTAACACACGAAACGGCGTCTTACTTCGTATTGATCCTGATAACAATATCGCATTGTTTACCGTTCCGTATATTGTATTGGCAATTGTACTACCTGTTGCTGTTACCTCCAACGCCGCCGACCAACCCCTACTAGGTACAATCGCTGTGACAAAACGCCATTGTTCGCGAACCATTCCGTCGTCGACAAGACCGTGTCAAGTGATGGCAATTACAACTCGACTCGTATCGATGTGTAACCGTTGCGACTCATTTGGTCCAACTAATTATTTGGCATTTGGTTAAAGCTCACCGTCATACCTACGCAGGTGTGGTCAGTGGCGGCGCGAAATATTTTACTTCAACAGTATGGCTTGTAAAAAGAGCTCCCCCACTATTCGTTCTACATGCTACATACCCACTCGATATCCAATGGTCAATACCCACCCACCTACCCACCTACTGACTTGAGTCCAGGGACTCAAAAATCTGCCGTCACGCCGCCACTGGGTGTGGTTGAAAAATCATTCACGCAACCATTTCGTAAATCGTAACTTAACCGTTAGCGACTCGACTGTAGTTCTTGGACGGTTAGTAACTTTTAGAACTTTATCTCGTCTAATTCAACACTAACTGTTAAGCCGCCTCAATAACTCTGTCGCTGCTCCGTAATAATTAACTTCATTTATAGCAGTTAGCATAACTAAACATGTACTTACATATTGTTATCGCTATGTTGCGGTGTGATACCGTGTTTCGCCACAAATTTCACAACACTTTTTATTAAGTTGTGTTATGAATATATTTAATAATAATAAAGCAAAACATGTACATACAAATACTAATAAAAAATATCAGAAATAATAATAATAATAAAAGGACTGAAAATATGGTATCATATATTATCATCAAATACACGGGTGTTCATTAAGAAGTTTTGTCAAATAAAAAATAAAAATAAAAAAATAAATAAATAAAATAAAAACGAAAAAAAAACATTTCCACTTATACTAGAATACTAGTCTTTATTATAAGATATTATTAGGATTTTAACATTATTTTCCACGGTTCAAACAGGTTTCGCTGTAGTAATTTTTGGAAACCTTTTTTTTTTTTTTTATGTTAACCATTAGCTTATAAAAATACAAATTAATATGTATATTTTTTTTATTGAAACTTTGTATAATATTTATTTTAACTGTTATACAGAAAATAATGTATAAGTTTGTCTACTTTGGTGTTTATGATATACATGACCAGTGCCGCAACTACACTAACTTGGGCCTGTGTGTAAGTAAAATGAATGCCCTTCCCGCATCTGGACTTTTCAGAGAACCCGTACCGTATTTGTAACCAAACTATTTTGAATTTCGATTATACAGGCTGTAAAAAAAAATTTGATGTACGATAATGTGTTCAAAACAAAATCAATAAATTATTTTTCAATCTCCATAAGTAATTATTATTACAAAATGGTTGAATTCTCTTGCTTTCTACATATTTTTAAAATATTACCATTGGGCTCTATTACAAGCTAGGGCCATGGGCCCGTGGGTTTGAAACACGCAACACATCCGGTTATTGCGGCACTGTACATGACAGTTGCGGATGTGCAATAGATGCACAGACGTATGTTTAAAATATTAATTACAAATCATTAAACAATCATTCCACACGTATATTTATAACACACCATAATACACATCATAATTTATATGTAAATTATATAAATAAGTGTAATACATACATTTTTATTCACTTGTTACAAAATAGGTTTATCTTAGAGCAGTGATACCTGTGGCCTGCGAAGGCATTCTATAATATATATATATAACATAAAAAAAAAAGTAAAATTATTATAAAATAAAGTATTTTATTAAATTATAAATTTTATTTTTGGACAAGTAAAAATGTTTTCGGTTTAATATCGATATGACCCGTACACTTACGGTAAAAGAGCGTACAAATCAAATTAATAAGTATCTATAGTGTATATAAATCTGTAATCTTTTCAATAGTCATTAAAATATATGAAAATAAGCCGAGGGTACGTATATGTATATTAATATACAATTGTATACCTACTATGATTGGTAGATATCTGGAGGGAGCCGTTAAAATGCCTACTATGTGTAACAAAATTATGTTATTAGATTAATATTGACATTATTTGTACTTTTATACTTGGAGGCCTGTACGAAGATAATTATTTAACAAAGAAGCCCGCCGTTGAGGAAGAAAGGTTGGGCATCACTGACTTAGAGTAAAATATTATCCTACTATAGAAAACTCCTGTATGTCACCGTTATTAATAATTCTTTGCCGTTGTTTGTAATGATGGAAAATAATCAAACTAACAAATGTGTGTGTATTTATTTATTGTTCTTAAGAATACAAAAAATAAACATTTTCATTTTATTGGTATATTTTACTATTAGTTATTAGTCTAATTGAATATTCGACCACATACATATTTCATAATGTAAAAAAAAAAAAGTTTACATAGTTTCCAAATTATACGAGTAATAAGATATTACGATATTACATGTATCTTAGTATATGACTTTCTAACTTGCGAAAAATTGCCTTGTTCGAATATATTACCTAATTCAATGATTGCCTATTTTTTATTTCATTTGTTTAATAAATTAGAAACTAACTAATTAGAACTAACCGATTTAAATAGGAAAATATTGCTTCTCTTTTACTTGACCATCAGTTGTCACGCGTAGTTAATAACAGAAATCCAAATCCTACTTAAAATATGTTATAGGAAATAAAAAGTAGAAATAGTAGTTAAACAATCAAAAGGTTAAACAAATTAATATTATCATTATTTTTATTTATTTGTATAGACCATAATAATTTTAATTGAGTTGTTTTGTAATAAATTTGTGTATGAGATCGTACAAGATTTCAGGTTTGTCACATGATACCAAATGCCCCGCATTTCTAATCAACACTTCTGTAAGGTTACCGACCGATTTTATGTAGCCGGCTAGTTTATTATTCACGTACCATGGTTTTCTGATCGCTTTCTTATAATCAGCACCGTACGGGTTCTTCATGCTGGAATATAAATTAACCGACAACGAATAGGCCACGACTATATCCATCTGACCATTGTAAACTAATATGGGATATTTGGTTACAAGCTGCTCTAGATGTTCCTTGACCGAAGTCATAAAGTCCGGAATCATTTTGTAGTATATTACGCCCAAGCTAGTGAACTCGACGTCGCCAATGTGTAAGGCCCTCCGACTTTCAATTGTTTGCAACAAATTTATGTAGCTGACATCACCTATGGTATTAGTCGAGTTCCACGGAATCGTGTCACCATCAATTATGTTGTATAAGCTCGGGAATTGAGTTTGCTCAATAAATGTACTCATTATACCACTCCAAGCCTGAAATGAAAATATTTTTTTAATTATTTCACCGCGTAGACACTACCAATTTCAACAATGTGACGGCGTTTCTGTAAATTATAAAATCAATGGTACCTGTCAAACATATTTTTTATTATACTCACATAAAACGCGTCGACGTAGTGTTTATCGTGGATTGCTTTTTTACCTTGAGACTCCAATCTGTTGATTTCTTGTTTTGTGTTATTATCTATTAAACCTATTTGGTATAGGAAGTCTCCGTAACATAACAATGTTTCAGGATCTAAAAATCCATTACCAATTGCGATTCCTTCCATTTTGATATCGGCTAATATTTTTTCATTGTGGATTAACGATGCCAATGCAAGTGCAAATTTTCCTAAATTTAAATTTTAATGTTATCATTACATGACAACAATGACATATTTTTAATTTTTGGTGTGGAGGAAGGTTTAAAGTTTTTTTTTAAATTTATCATATTATAAAAATACATATAAGGTATAAATTAATAATTATATTATTTTATTGTTATTATAAATGTATATGATGAGTTATTTACAACCACATGTTTTAAATTAATGTTCTCATTCTCTGTACTATTGTAGCAAGCTATTTATGACTTTTGAACCTTGTTTTTCTTCTAGAGGGGTCAAAATCCGGGATTCCCTTCCCCAAAAATACAACACTACACGAAAACATGAAAATACATTACATGTCAGCATAAATCATTACAGTGCATTATTTAAACTAGTTAACTAGGTAACACAAATATTGCTCCGTGAAAATATTTTATGGCCTAGTTGATAGTATTTTGAAGATTGAACGAAACACATTTAACTGTCAAAGAAGACATTTTTTGAATTATGTAAGAAAGATAATTAGACAAAGTACGATAGACGCATTTCTACATAATAAAATATATTGTCATATTCATTCATTAATATTTATTTCTTCTACAAGTATTAAAATTTATTTTTAATTATTATGCAGAGCGAATGTGAAGTACTACCATCTTAATAATATTATATATTGACTATTTTAGAAACAAAAATGGTTTGTCGCCTAGAGAAAATTCTTGAAAAAATGCTCTTAAACATTATGTAAATATTTAACGTTAAATTGTTGTATACCACCATATGATTCAGCCATAATGTAGAATGGATTTATTCGCTGTTCAGGAAACATTGTATAAAATTGTTTTAAAGCTTCAAAAAGTTGTTCTCCCACGGTTGAGAAATTCGTTGCATATCCATCGATATGTTCAGTAAAACTAAATCCTAAAAAAACGACATTTTTCGACATTATTAATAATTACAAAATTACCAGTTAAAAATCATATAAACGTTATTTATCATGTTTGTAAATAAAAAAAATTCAAATAATAATTTAACTGTTTTTTTTTTAAATATAATAGTTTAAATACAATGATCATTTTACATTCAGTATAATTAATGTTTAGTAGATAGTAAATTAAATGTTAACATGTTTTAATTAAAGTGTAATGGTTTAAAAAATTACAACACCATAGTGAGGTTTTATATTTTACCTGTTCCGACAGGACTGTCAATGAATAGTAATGAGTTGTTATTGTGCCACGATAACGGATTTTCGTCGATCACGTAATTTTCTCCATCAAAAGAACAATTAAACGGTCCAATTTCTTTGAATACACTAAATGCTGTACTAGCACCCGGACCACCTTCTAGCCATAAAATTAAAGGAGCTTCCTTTGAATGATATAGGCACTAAATTAAAATTAAAATTAAAATTTTGTAAAGAAAAATTCATTTATATCTTCTTTTAAATTAAAATTAAAACTCCCTGCTCTTTCGCAAAAATATTGAGTAAGGCTTGATTGATATACGTGAGTTTTCTAATGATAAAATCTCCGTGCTACATTAGCCATAAACAAATTGTTTTAGTTGATATTACTGATACAATATCATATTAAAACTGTACAGTTTATAAAAACCAAATAATAATTTATATTTGATTCATATACAATTCAAAATTGTTAAATTAAAATGCTAACTTATATTTACTGCAGAATAAAAAGTAACTAAACATTTTTTTTTTTTTTTTTTACATAAATAAACGAGGTATCTTTTTGGTCAACGCAAAAACAAAAAAAATATTTTATGAACATTTAAGCTAAAGATAGGAGTTTGAGTGAAAGCGTACTGCTAGTTTATAATGGGTGTATGAGCGTAGAACAAATAAATAATATACATGATATAAAAGCTTGAGGAGAGTACCTATCCAGCGGTTCTACTTGAACGCGATAAAAAAAAAACAGTTATTAAGATTTTTTACATACCAATCTGAATTTAGTTATTTTACATTATTAACATGTATAGTAAGAATTATTTACTAAAAAGTAACTAAGTAAATATTTTAGTAGATATAATAAGTAATATACATATAAGATATGCCTATTAATTACATGTTGCTATAAATAATTGTATATGACTATAATTATTTATTTGAATATCTTGTGTTCATTTAATATTGTAAATGAATAACAGTTATAATATCATTATTTTATCGACTGACATTTATAAAATATGAAATATTTAATGATTACTTTTTTGTTCCGAATTTTTCGTTTTCATAGGATAATGTATTTAACTTTTTTTAATGAAGGTATATGACAGAAAATGAGCCTTATTGATCTGCCCAGGTTTAAAGGATATTGTCGTCCACCCCTAGTATTCTGATCGAATTTTAATCGAATTTATCGAAAATAACTACTTTCATAGTTATATTATATACATTATAGAATTAAGTTGTTATGGTTTTACAAATATAGATTAAGCTTAAGATTCCAAATAGGAATAATGTAATAAATAAAATAAATATAAATAAATATGTAACAAATAATATAAAGTTTCATTGAATTTGTGTATTAGCGTGAATAAATTTCAAAAATAATGTCAACCAACGCAGTTATACAAAACAATGTATGTTTAATGTGCGGATAGAAAATTAAACAGATCCAAAATTATCCTTTCGTGCCCCGATTCTACGCTTCAGTTTCAAATTTGATACTACCAGAAAAACGAAAGTGATTTACGAGAAACGGAATAATCGGAACGTTCCGTTTTTGATAGGTTTGTAGATTCGATAACACAAACGGTGTTTTTGATTCTTCGAACTCATCAGTTTTAATCTCTACCCGCGGGGTGTCATCCCTGTTTGTCTTTATACAGATCGTACGCTGAATAAAAATTGTCCAAAATGTATTTTTCGATTACACGTAGGTATTATTTAAAAGAGTTATCGGAATGCGTTCGTCCGTTTTCAATACGAAATTGGGTTTGATAACGGAAATGAAAAAATAAAATAAAATTAGAACAAAGTTAACATTGAAATATCGAAAAAACGAAATCATTTCAACCGACCCACGCTTACGACTCGGAAAGATACGGGGGGCAGGTAGGTATGACGTGATCCGGGCAAGATTCGACGACGTTCGTGAACGATCGTTGTTCCGCGTCGAGGGTGAGCGATTTTACCCCGTGATCGATTTATCCACGCGTGATCCCGGGGGGGGGGATTGGGGGGGGGATGGTTAGGGGGCACACGTTCGTGATTAGTCAAGCCGTTTACCGGTGCAGGGAAAAACCAGAAGAAGAGGTTGGAGTTGTGCTCGTCGCTGACCGTGAAGTAACCGGAATAGCTGAGCACCCGGTGCGGCCGGAACACATCGGCCACCTTGGCCAGCTGCTTGGCCCGGAGTATTTGTCCGTTGCGCAGGTACGGCGTGAGCAGCAGCGGCTCGGCGGCCGAATGGGACGGCGTGGTCTCGGGATCCCACAGCGGGTACGCGCTGCGCAGGTACAGCGGCGTGGACTCGGACGACAGGCACGCGGCCCGCCGCCACACGCAACACCCGGCGGCGCAACACACGAGTATACCGAACGCGGCGCGCATGGTGCCACAGGCAGGACTGTGCCATCCTTGTTGCCGTCCTGTTCGTCCTGACGTTACGGCAGCCATCGCTGGTGCAAAGTTTCTAACCGCGCACCGACACGTCTTCGCGCGTCGGTGGGGACGACCACCGCGCACACACGCAACCCGTCTCCTTCCCTACCGCGTCGTTATTACGTGTGTACTCACGATGATGATTTAGCGGTGGACGATTCTTGAAAGCGAATCGATGTGAATCGATTCAAATCGAAATGAAGAAATCAATCCGAGAGCAGACGGGTGACAGATCTTTATATGCGGGGTTTTTTCTTAATCAATTGATCGCGCTCTTTGCTGATTTGCCTGTAATCTAGATGAAAAATAAACGCAAGAACGAATTGTGTAGTGTTTAGTGATCGACGATTCAAGTCGGAATAAAAAATTCGTAACAAGAACAAATGGTAGTGTCAATACTTTGAAAAAATCGGAAATTTGATCAACAATTAATATTGAATTTATTTTTATATAATATCGTACTAACGATTCGGTTCATGAAAAAAGTCAAAAAAAAAAAAAAGAAATGATTCGAATCGATTCAAATCGGTCCACTGGTTCAGGGGACTGTAGGGACCGGTAACGATATAAAAAACGTAATTTTTACGTTCACCTAAATGTAAGCGTAGAAAGAGTTGGTACTACCTACAAATCGATCGGATCGAGATGACCGCTTACGACACGTGCTTACCGTGTTACAACTATCCGTTTACTCTACATCGAAATTTTCCTAATCGAATTTCGGTCACTTCATTCAAAACAGCTAACCTACCTTGAAAGTCAAAAACCGATTTTTTGTTGAGTACTCGACGATCTCTCAAATGATCCATCGATTACCCGGTCGCAATGCAACGTAAATATTTTCATATTGCGTGAACAATTTAAAAGTGTTACATTTTAACTCTTGATGTGCATCATTTCAAATTTCGAATCTATACGCTTATCCGGTTCGGTCGGAGGTCCTAGACATATTTGTACGCATTTTTTTTGCAAATTTACTATCGTTACGTACAGTGACGACTTTAGGTGTTTCAGCGCTCAGTGCAAGAATTATTTTAGCAATCCTCCATATTAACGAATTAAACGTATAATTTAAACAGGCAGAATTTTGGGAGCTGGTAGGGCATCATTTTACATGTTATAACTTAATATTTAGCATGCATAATCATAAATGCTCAAAATCATTGTTCAAACGTGCATATTTGCCACATATTTGTAAATCATTCAGAGAACAAACATAATAATACTTGCAATAATATAATGATAGTTTATAAAACTGTAATTGTACCTATAAGCGTGGTCAATCCTTGTATGTCGATAAAATAATAAATAACGATAATTATAATAATAATCAAATCTATATTGAATCACATAATGAAATTCTTTTTTCTATTTATAATAGATAATTTGCGTCGCCAACGATTGATCAAATTTGATTCTAATGTTAACGCCTCTCACGCACCTTTCTGATTTTGGCTTCTTGTGCCGTCGAACGCGTCGATCGTATCTAAAGCCCTGGAATGAAACGCTAAAGTTACGGTGTCCAAGCCGCGGCTATTGCTGCGACTACTATGGTAATCAGCCGCCGATGATTGCCTGTTGTTCTGCTCCGGTAACTGGCCGCTGCGGCTAGTAAAAAAAAAAAATTCGTGTGATTTTAGTACTCGTACTGTAAAGACCTATTTTTTCTGTGTGGTGTATTAAATATGGTCGATACGTATATCATAAATAACAATAAAATTGTGCATCTTTTATTGGAGGAGAAAGAAGATTAACTACCCATATTTAGTCAATTATGTTTTATTATTTTTTATTTATGTTAACTGTTTTATATTGTAACTATTTTATATATTAAACATTAAATTTAGATATTAAAATAATTAAATTTAGGTATTCAATAAAAATACTTACCAGATCTTCCAACTTTTATGGAAATATTTTTCTACATATCATCCTACATACATAGCTACATTCGTACTACAACTGTTCCAAAGTCAACCGGATTCAAAGTTCATAAAATGTTCATCATAAAAATACTTTAAACGTTTGATTTTATGTTTTTGAATTGAATACTATGAACACGGTTTTAATTTTAGTTGTACGCAATGATAACATAACTGTAATATTTACCTAGAATTTTTTTTCCCCTAGTAAATCTTACTTATATTGTAGACATTATTAATAAACAGAAAATTACAAAAACAAAAAAATGTTACTACGGTGTAGGTACATTCGATTATGGATATTTCAGTATGTCTTATTAATATCATATGTTTTTATTTAATTTTCTATTATTTCATATTCTAAAATAACAAAATACACCTTCATATATGTATATTTGTGCATATTACATACCCCGTGCCGTATTCGTCACGCTGGTTACATATAATATACCTACATTGTACAATAAATTCAAATCACGTATTTTGATTGGAATCTGATGTTTCCAAAAACGTCACTAAGTGATGAAGTCATTTGGTCTTTCCCTATATTAAATTAATGGTAAAAAATATTTATTTATTTTTTTTGGAATTTTATTGTAATACTTCGACGAGACGCATCCGCAGGAAATCCAATCGCAACATACTAATTAATATGACATGTTTTCCTCTCTAAGACATAACAAAATGTGTCTAAAATTATTTTATTAGTCATTCTATTGTTCGTGTTTCATATTATGTGTTTGTAATATAAAAGCTAAAAGTATCGATAATGTAATATATCCATACGATTATTGAAAATACAAATATAAATAAGATTATTAATTAATTAGAAAATACTTTAAAATAATTTACTTTTATCGGTAAGTAATGACATGAATTCAAATTGTACATTTTATGCTTAAACATCGAAGCATTCAAATTTAAAATCTAGTCATGAAAAATATTCAAATTTTAAATTTTAACTAACTGTAAGCATTAAAATATTTGTATGTCTTAATGACGGAGGTAAAATAATATTACTTTAATATTAAAATATATTTTTATTTTATTGCTATTATCATCTATACAAGTAAAATCATAATATTATAATACCTATTCAATTTATAAATTAATATACTTATAAATAAAATAATATACATTATTTCAATTTTTATTTTAAATATTTTAATACGAATAATTATATTTTGTGTTATTATTATAACTCGTAAAATTCGTTTAAATCAATTCTAAAAATAATTCCATAAGAATTTTTATTCAACGATACGAGTATTTTGATTGAATATTTTCATATACATCAGGTATTACTAATCATTGACTTATGATTCTTAAAGATACACTCATATATTAATAACATCTACTTCCATATTTCGGTCACGTTGCAATGGTGACAACAACATTTTCCCATTAAACAGTGCGCGTGCCCTCTAAATATTTTATATTCATATAATAGTCTCTGTAAAATAAAAAAAAATTAGTTTGTCTCGGACAGGAAATCGTAATGGGACGGTCATCGCACTTCCCGTTGATTATAATGAAAATCATCACGTTCTATATAATTAAAACAAAAATTACAACACAACACAGAATGTTATTTCTAAGAACCTATAAAACTACTTCATTTTCATTTGCCGCAGAAAAAAACATACCTTTTTATGGCTACCAAATTTAAAACAATGAAATGTATTTCTTTTCGATTCATTCACTGTATTTTATATACATGTTAAGCATTTTAGGCGTATGTAGTTTTTGTGTTGGTCTAATAATAGTATTTTTTTGTATTTTAAGATTTGTATATAATAATAGATACTTATGATGTAATGAAATCAATGTACATCAAGTTTCCTCCAAGCATATTTATAATATTTTCGTTAGTGAAGGCACTAGCCGTTTGAAGTCGTTTTCATCAGTTTAAATTAAATATTAGTGGATTAACCTATGTTTATAATAAATACTTATGCCTATTATTTAGCAACGATATTTTTATAATAAAATTAAATATAATCTGTTGAATTTATACGCAAAAGCATTTATGTTCATTATTATAACATTAAATATGTGGTTATAGGCATAAAAGCCATCAAAACCTTTATAAATTTCTGAAATAGTTTACCGAGTACATACATTCTTATTCAATCATTTTAAATCATATTTTAATATTGTTAAGTTGTTTCGAAGTCTTACGACTTGTTATGTATATAAATCAAAATGGTTGTTATTAAATCAATTAAACACTTTTTTAGGTAAATACTAATAGTTATTTGGTTGTAATATTTATTTTAAAAATATGTTCATGTTTAAACCTAATGATTCACTAGGACCTAATACATTGCTACGTGCTTTGAATGTCCATAAGACAATATTATATATGTAGATACATTTAAAAAACGAAAACGTTTTAGCTGTACTTAACATATTATAGATCTATAAATAAAATAAAAAAATATTGAGATTCTACATTTCAATAAGTATACAATCCATTTATAAAATGATATATCTTATTTTAAGTATTTTAAAGTTATTTAAAGAATTATAAGTGATTTTTGTTAAAAAATATCTATTTTGCATAACTTATTTATAATTTTCAGGATTGATAAAAAAATTAAAAGAAATATGTTTGAATAACAAAAATATAATTATTATAATAATAAATAACTACATTTTTATTTAAAATACTTCAGTGATTCATTGATACCTAAATCAATTTAACGTAAGTTATTTTGTTCAATAAGTCTTATAACGATCAGCATACAATTGTGTAAATGTGTTTATGTATACATTATATATTATATTATTCTGTATTATTCTAATCAAATTATTTTAGGTGAGTATATAATGAACAAAAAAATTAATTTTCTACCTACATTCATGTTTAAATGTAGTACAATAAATATATATCAATCACAATAAGTGAAGTTGATTGATTTATACATTATTATTTCAGTTACTTCGATAACAAGGGCTTAATATTGATCAATGTAGCAACTTTTCCGGTTTTTTGTATTGCCATCAAAACTTCTTCCGCGGACA